TCCCTCCATCCTGAGCCCTGGTGTGTCCCCCGCCCCCCCCCACTCTATGGAAGATGGGGTAAGCAGGGGTGCAGGAGCAGGGGAGAAGGGGACACCCTGACAGCCCCCCTCTTCCTCCCTCCCTGCCCCCCGCACAGCAAGCAAGAGGCTCCCAGGAGCGGCTCCAAGGCAGAGGGCAGGAGCAGCACATGGCAGTAGGGGGAGGAACTGCCAGCAATTGCTAACCTGCTGGGCAGCTGCTGCACAGGGAACTTAGGGGACCAGGGAGCTGATGGGGGGGCTGCCGGTCCAGCCTGGTTCCAAGCCCCCACCAGCTCACTCCACCGGGCTGCTCTTCCTGCAAGCAGTAGACAAAACAGGCGGCTGCCAAATGACGTTAGAAGGGAGCATTGCGCAACTTTAAACGAGCATGTTCCCTAATTGATCAGCAACGTAACAACGAAACAATGTTAACCGGGACGACTTTAAGTGAGGCGTTACTGTCTATATAAATATATATATACAGATCCCAACAACACGGGGCGCTGTTCCAGACTAGCTGGAGCTACACAGCTATAGCGCTTGACCCTATTCTGGAATGACTCCGCCGTGTAGACAAGCCTCTATCAGCCGTGCTGGCTGAGCTGTGCTGGCCGCCTTGGTCGCGCTCTGGTCCCAGCGCCCTGGCGGGTGTGGTGCCCTCAGGCTGGCCCCTGTGCCGATAGGGCTGGCAACTGGGCGTGCCTAACCTAAGTCCCTTCTCTTCCCCCGCAGAAACTGGTCTCGGGTTTGCTGCACCCAGGCCATGCTGGCAAGGAGCCCTGCAACCAGGCCAAGAACCGCTACAAGAGCGTCATCCCATGTGAGCAGAGCCTCTTCTCGCATCTTTGCTGAGCACTGTGTAAACGCTGCAGCCAGGCCACCCGGGCTGGGATCCCAGCAGAGCACAGAAGCCAGGCAATGCTGGGCCTGGGTGCTGCTGCAGATGGGAGACTGCCACGGAAACCTAGGTGCAGCGGGG